AACCCTTTAACTCCCAAGATCTGATTGTTAATTCTCACCTCTAGCTGCAACACATTTCTTTGTAAATGAGTTACAAGAATTTGGTGTTAGATCGAGATAACAACTTTTACCTGATAAGCTTCAGTATTCTCATTGCCTGTTTACTGGATAATGTGTGGTTGTCATAGGGAGAGTTTACAAGTCATTTACTACTGGGAGTTAAAACATTGACAAATAGTACTGTTATTGCAACTACAGATAAAACTAAATAGTCTTTCCGTATAAAGCGACTTCTTTCAGAGCCAAAAGGATTCCTCGCGTACCAAGCGGACAGAGACAAACAAACAAACAAACAAACCATTTATCTCAAAAAAACAAATTTAGGACGACAACATCATCTTAAAAAAAAAACTTCCCACGAACCTTTCTTCCATAACAATGCGAGTTTCCTCCACTGCATTAGGATCAAAGTGTCCAGCATCAACAAGATCTTGAGCTTGGCAGTTCAGTTCTTGCATACGCTGTCGCCTGGCCAAGATTTCTTTTTCCATCATCTAAGAAAACCAGAAAAATCAACATTCTTGTTGCATTTAGAAATTTTTAAATAAAAAAACGTCTAAGAGCTGAGTAGACATTCTTATCTCTTATCCCGAAGGTTCCTCTACACCCAAACAAGGAAGTAACTCCTCGACCCGCATGTTAAATGAAATACTCAGCGCTAAGTCTTACTCCAAGTGTTCAGAGTTTGAAGTGAAGCGTCCTGTCTTTGGCACTCTATTAATATCTTCTCATAACTTACCATTATCGTTCCATCAGTACGTATTACTACCTTTTTCGTGTTTTTCAGCAGTAGCGAATTAATAGTTTGACGCCTTCCACGAATTGAAGTTATCTTTTACCGAGAACGGATCATGAAAGTTTCCATTAAACACACCTTGTGTTTCTGGTAGAGCCTTGTGGCTGTGGTCAAGTCAGTCGCCTTCTCGTGGGTGACAACAGTTTGTTCGATCTCTGTGAACCACTGTTGGATGTTTTGAACTCCAGTGTTGAATTCTTCCTGTTTCTGTGCGTCACCTAACTTGGTTCCCTTCTGCTTGGACGCATCTGACAGTTCTTGCCATTTGACGTTTAGTTTTTCTAATCGCTCTTCAATTTCTGGCCTGTTTTGTGGTTTCTCTTCAGCGATGTTGTTTCCAGACTGCCATGGGAAAAATAAGAAATGTATCACGATTTAGCCCAAACAGTCTGTGAACATATTCCCAGACCTCCTCCATTCTCGTCCCTTCTTTGTATATTACTTTGGAGAAATGTTTTTTTTCTCGGTGTTGTTACACACACTGCATGGCCATTCACAGAAGCTGCATCACCACTAAGTTGAATACTGACAGGAAACTAGCTTTCGGGGATACTCTCTGACTCACCTCACAGATATTGTCAAGGCGCTCCTTGTTGGCCTGGATCTCAGCTTCAAAGGCCCTGTGTTTCATGACTTTACCCTGGATGTTACTCAAGTCTCTGTAAGTCTCTTCCGAAGCGATCAACAGTCGCTCGTTCAGCCAATCGTACATCTGTGGAGTTGAAAGAAACAAAATTCTCGCATTGAAAGCTTTTTGAACTGTTACCTCATTAAAAAAAATTAGCTTCTACTATTCCCATCATCTTCGCCTCGACAATTTGTCAATATAAAAAGGCTTCCTAACAAGCCAATTATCCTTGAAATTTATCAACCTCCATTTCTGTATCGTATCGTGCGTAGTTCATAACAAACACTTACATCTTCGGAGTCTTGGATGAATTGTTGAAGCTCCAAAGCATCTCTCAACCTCTTCAATGCTGCCGCCATCTTTTCGTGATTTGCGTTCCTCCTGCGACAACGGAAACCTCAATGTTAGGACGGACGAGGAGTAGGAAGGAAGAAGACCGTGAAGGTTAAGAGGAAGGAGGATGGAAGAACAGGGGAAGGCAGGCAAGAATGGAGAGAGGAAAAAGGTGAGACAGCAGGAGAGTAAGAGAAGAGGAAGCAAGTCAGCGAGGGACGAGGAGTGAAGGGGAGGAAGTAAGTAAGGAGAGAACGCGGGGACGGAGGAAAAGCATATTATAAAAAATAAAAATAAAAAATAATAATAAAAAAAGAGTTGTTCTCGCCTTTCATCGATGCTGCGTGCTTTTTCTGTGATCTTGTCAGATGCATAGTGATTTTCATCATTGAGACGATCGGCAAACTGGATCATTTGGTTGATCTTATCGTCATTGGTTTGCATTCGTTTATCAAATTCTTCGTGCTTCTTTATCAGCTCTTTTACGGTCTCTACAGTAGCCTGTAAAACCGAGTGCGCACATATCATTAAAACCAATCAAAGAAAAATTATTCCGACGACTCAACCAAAAGTGTTCAACAGTCAAAAAAGCCGATACATCTCTTACAAGACAGCACGGAAACGTTTCTACTCCTCACTGGTTACACCAGTTAATAGCTCGACTTTAGAACTAAAGATATTATTTTTTTATTGGTTTTTATTTGTGTAATTTATAAAAACACAAAGGGTTAGTTATTAATACGAGGTCTAACCCAAACCATGGTTTTACACTATCAGTGGGCCTCAGGCTTTCTTTGTAGGAGGATTGATTCAATTAAATAAATGTCCTTCCGCAGTTAGCTTTTGACCTTCTTGACACTTTTCACAAAAACACATGTTCAGATAAATGTTCCAGCTAAACAGAGGATTGTTTCGTACGCGGATTTGTTGGACGGCTAAAATCTTCCTTTCTACACTTACTCCGCTTTCCTCCTTGGACAGGAACAACTCTTGCTGGCCGAGAATGGCTTCACACTGTTTGGAGTCTCGGATAAAAAGCTAACAAGAAAGACAGACAGGAATATGGATGAGTAAAAACGTCGACGAAAAATGTCAAATTTCTTATTTGTACCTGTAACAAAGAGAGGAGCAAAAAACCTTTGACAACACAAGTGCGATTCGATTAGTATGGTGTCTTTCCTGAGAAGTCTTCGAGTTCGTTCGTTTGTTCTTTCATGTAAGCGCACGCACGCGCGTGGGTTCATTTAATTGTTAGTCTATGTGTTCGTGCGATTACTTGATTGTCATTCTGTGCGTGCATTCGCGTCCTTCCGGTTATGAGGTTTTCTAGCGAGCGTTTCGCCGTACCTGATGGTTTAAGGCCTGAATTAGCATTTTCTTCCTGTTATCCCACAGGATATGTACATCACTCCATCCAGTCTCCAAGTTGTCAAGCTGTTCTTTCAGCGATTGCTGTTGGAGGTCTGACTCGTCCTGGATCCACTTTGGACCACTCAACATCAACTGCTTGAAGTCAGGTTCTCGGCTGTCAATCTCGTCCTAAAAGGACAAGGAAGTAAACATTACACCACGGCACGTTTCATAGTTAGAGCAGCTTTCAATTGAGTATCAAAAGAGTATTCTGCATTGTTTTGGTTTTGCTTTGCATCTTTGAATCTCTCTTTAAAGTCACGCAACACACTCCCTTTGGCATTATCGTAACACATAACGAGCTCAAATGACGGTTGATAGGAAGATTACTTTAATCATGGGTAAATGCTAAATGCTCACAATTCCTCTTGGGTCAACAGGTCGACTGGAATTTTTTTAATACATGAAACAATACGAGAGGAGTTATGTTAAAACGTCTTAATTTTAACAGCACTCTCCATGGCAAGTACAGCGACAGTACCTTAAGGTCCTCAAGTTCTTTCAACATCTTCTCTGCATCAATCAACGATACAGGCATTTCCTCAGAGGCAACCTCATTCTGAGTGTTGTTCAACCTAAGAGAGAGAAAATGAAAGGGTCTTCAGTTCATACAATCCTCCTCGATTTATTTAACTGACAAAATGCCTTGCTTACCATATTTGGAAATTGTCAAGATCAATAACAAAGTGCTGCAACTCTCCTGATTCTGCCAAAGCATCATCTCGCTGCTTCACCTGTTGAAAAAATACCAATGTATACAGCAAGTCAAGAGGTTATATCAATCGGCTTACTTAAGTTTGTTTCCAAGTCTGCTTCCAACTTGTAGCATAACGAGCTACCCCATGGTTTCTGCATCGTAAAACGTTTTTTTTTTTTTTGAGATTATAAGTTGCAATCCTTCTGAATCTTTCCCAACCTGAACCATTCCAGTTCTTCTCATGTTTACTCTTTCCAGCCTCGTGCTTTTCTTTCTTAACAAACCAGTATAATGTGGTATCTTTTCCGTTGCAACATAGAGCCACACCTCTAACAAGTACCAGTTTATCCTTCAAAATTTCGACTCACGTTGTCCTTAAGGTCGACCCAGGCACTGCTGACGACATTGATTTTATCCCTGATGATTGGTTCTTCTGGTTCCTATGGAAACAAAAAAAAAGATAAGAATCACTCAAATGTAAAAAAGAGGCGAAATGAACAAAAAATCATTAATAAAAACAAAAACAAAGCTGAACGCATTAATTGTAGGAAGGCAGAAATGAAATACTCGAAAATATTGTTTTCTTGATACTCACCCCTTGGTACTCAGAGCAAAGAACTTCAGAGTCATTTTCCAACTTTGTGACCTACGAAAAGAAAAAATAGTGAGGACAATGTCTAATAAAAGGCGAGTCTCCGACAGAAATTTACCTTGTCTTCTAAAGGTCCCAGATCTCGTTGGATGCTGTTGAGCCGTCGCTGCAAGATCATTACTGTAGCAAGATCCTTCATGTTAGTGACTTCCTCTACACTGAGCAAGAGACTGGACTTCTCGGTAATCCACAACTAAAGACACAAAAATAGATTGAAATATAAATAAATTTGAAGTTCCAGGACACAATACAACATCACTACTTTTTACTAGAATGTGCTCCATATACAAAGGTCTGAAGGGCTGTGGTTCCAATCTTCACAAGCAGGACACTACTGACTACTAATATTACTTTTCCAAGCAGTTTGCAAAAAGCTTGTGACCTGTGAACCTAATAATCGTCTGGCTCGCCAGCAAGTGTACTGTAGCTGAGTAGGAGAGGATTCAAAAAGAAGTGAGAATTGGTTCGAGTTTGGTTCCTTACAGAATTCTTTTATCCGTTTCTTTCTTTGTTTCAGAAACGACTTCAAAATTCAGTTACGGTACCTTGGTTTCGTGGACACCAGCATGGAATTGTTGGAGTCTGAGGGCTTTATCTAGTTTTGCCTTCTTGATGTCGGCCGCATTTCGAAGATTTGCCCACCTGTAAGTGGAAAGGTAGAATACCTGATCAGTAGTCTGTTACCATCGCCTCACCAATTTGTCACGTTCCCAGTCTTCTAAAAACATAACACTTTCTTCCCATACCTTAACACATGTGATACATGTATACAAATCATTCCAATAGCCTTTCCAAATCTCACCCCTCACCCTCTCTATAAAAATCTGGTCCCTCTTCTCCAAACAATACCTGGCTTCCCATCTGTCTCATTCTGCTGCTTAATGACATAAAGACGAGGGAGAATGGTGGCAAGTCTCTCACTTAACACGAATTTGAAGCATCGGTAAAATTTTGCCCCTTTGAGAAGCAAAAGGTCTGCTTCTAATCACACACCTAGGCGAAAAATTCAACAATTTGCTATTTACTTATAATAAACAAATATGTTTTAGCTTAGATCAGAGAGGACTTACTTTGTGTTGAGACCATCAATGGTGTCTTTGATTTCATCAGAATTGATGTGTCCTTTCTCAATAAGTTGGCCTCCAAGATCGTTCACAACTCCAACACGCTTCTCGTTCGCATTCAACTCCTGCAAGGAACAAACGCATATTCGTTTCATACCCAATCATTCAAGAAAACTCGAAAGATGCTAAAGGCAACTCAACGTCACACACAAATAGATAACAAACCTGCTGGAATCCGTCAAATCGTTGTTCAATGATTTGACATTCTTCAAGATCCATACTCTTTTCGACAGTGAGAGCTGCTTCGAGCCTATCCTCCTACAAAAGGGAAAAAACTCATTACAGTAAAAGACACTTAAGCTGTACATGGCGAAGTTCAGTTGTTTAAAGTTTATGATGAAAGCACAACTGATAGTCAAGTATAAATCTGGAAATTATTCAGCAAAGGCTGGTACATCGGCGGTTTGAATCATCCACATTATCCAGAAACCAATGCCAAGTTTTCAGGCGAAGGGACTAACTAAGGTGGCACAGGGGGGTATGAAATTCCAGATTTAACATGTCATGGGCAATTCCTAGCAGCCCAATAAAGTAGAATTAAAATGCTGTGTATAAAGGTAATAAGTTTACAAAATGTAATTCATTCCCTTCTTATCGCCACAGATAATGTGTTTGTTTATTTTTTTCCTATTAACACAAAGCAAAAGTCTTCGACGTAAATGAAACAAGTCAGGCATTTGTTAGTTCTCATAGCTTCAACAATGACGTAAATGATTCTCATCCTAGTTAACGTATCGTTATCAAGAACCAACCTTCTCATTGATCCAGCTATCCACGATGTAAGCATCTCTGTTGAGTTGATGAAGAGAAAGAGCATCCAAGAGTTTGTGTCTGCGGTTAGCAGCTTGCAGCCGTAAGTTTTCGTATCGAGTGTCCACACTGCAAGGAAGTAAAAAATTGTGTACCATTGAAAGCTGGAAAAATAATTAAGACTGGCCTACAAAAATATCCAAACGACACAAGTTTAAGATTAAATGCAAGAACTTCAAAGATTAGTCCTAACATTCTTCCATCTTTCTTCACGGCGGAACAAGTTTCCTTGCATATGAAATCATAAAACATTCATCCATATGCTTGTGCCTTACTGCAACTGTTCGCTAAAGGAACCAGTTTAGTGACGAGCCAGTTCATGATAGGTACGCAACAAGTTACATTTCTCAACATGTCGAAGAAGAAGTCGTTTCGCTTCGACCGACAATGGTAAAAAAAGTGTTCTTCAGTGCTCAGCAGTAAATGTATCAGAAATGTTACCATTTTGCCAAATCGCAGAGGTAACAAAAGATACCCTATTTTGCTAGATGCACATGAAATTCAGTACTTACTTTCTGCATCTGTCGACCACTTCACGGGAGGTCTTGTCCTCGTCACCAAGTTCATCAACCTCATCATGGAGGCCTTTGATCACTGAAGCATAATTCTCGATGTCTTCCTCGATGATCTGAATGAGACGTAAGAAACGTTATGAATTGCTAGAGCAATAGACACACTAACTGTACCTTGAATTATCTATGCGAGTCGCACCTTTCAGGTTTCCTTTGAGATTCTAGAGACACTTAAGAATATCTGCTACAGCCAGCTTCAAATTCAATCTTTGCTGTCTAAGTTCTTCTTTCAATGTTTTAGTTTGCCTTTTTTTAATGAAAAGTGACTCGTATTAACTCTAACAGTCAAATACAACCATGAAAGGTTTAAAATACCGGACGAAAAGAAAAATAAGACCTGAAATCGCCCAAAATCATAAAAATATTGTCCACACAACGTGTACAATCATGTCACTGAAAAGGGAATTGAAACGACCTGGGATTTCGCTAAAAACGCGAAATGAAAAATCTGAACTGTACTGCACTTTAACAAAGAGCTTCGAATTAACGCAGGCGACAATCAGGAAAACACATGGAACAAATTCAGGACAAAAGTGAGCTCCTGGAACAATCATTAAGAATTAAGAATAAAACTCACCTTGTGTTTCTTCAACAATGTGTCGCTGCTTGCCTCATCATATCCAAGGTCATCGTTGGCGACAATCCTTTCCATCATATCCAGCCACGACATGATATCATTATAGTCAGAGATAAACTGTTGCAACTTCTGATTTTCCCCGATCTTCTTCTTGCGATAGCCAGCCACGTCTTCCAAGTTTGTCCATTTGTTCTGGATGCTGATCATGCGCGACTGGATCGTGTCTGAGGAGTAGTGTCCAGAATCCAGAAGATCCTGGCCACTCTTCATCACGGCCTGTGTATGAGTGTCACGCTTCGCGAGTTCACGCTCAACTGCCTAAAAAACAATCGAAATTTCTTAACATAAGCCCTATTTAAAGGCTCTTAAAATTGTCACTTTTTATAGCATATTGATAAGCTAATAAAAAACATCCCAAAGAAGATTTTTTTTGCTTGCGTTAGCCCCCACAACCAAATTCGCCCCTGAAAGTAAGTCAATCAACCCCCACCCCCTTGTTCCCGCAAGATAAATGTACATTAAAAAGTACATAAGCGAATCAGCCCTGTCAGTCCACAACAGCATATCCAACCCATCTGCATCCAGGAAACTCGCGTATTATCCAAGAAATTTTCCATACAAGACGTAAGGGGTTTTTACATTCTCATACCTCATGTTTGTTCAACAGGACCATGGCACTGTTCAGATCATGTCCATAGTCTGTAGACTGCAAGGAATGAGCCTTCTCTGACACCCACATCTCTTCCTCTTCAGCATCCCGGTAGAAGGTCTGTAGCTTGTGAGACTCGTCTAGTCTGGCACGCCTTGCTGCTGCAAGCTGCAGGAGCTCATTGTAGGCACCTTCTAATTCAGCTTGATGATCTCTGATCTGGTTTTCGTCTGGTTTGAAACCTGTATTTAGAAAATGCAGAGAACAAATTACGATGACTTCAAGTTCTTGTATGTTGCATGCATCATCTAGCACTGTGCACTATAAAACAAACTGTCGCTCCTTTATGGCGAAGTCCGTAGCGCGAGTCGAATAATATCAGCGAAAAAAGAAATGGATGTGAGCTTGCCGCGCGGAACTCAGGGAGTGCACCTCACTCTCATAGTTCCGCGTGGCGCGCTAACAACAATATTATTTTTCACAACCTTTTTCTTTTTGCCGCCTGACGGAATCCGCTGAACGGGAGGGAAGCTCATGGTCTAACAGTTTTGCAATAACAGGTCAAACGCTTGACACTTGACAAATAGTCGCAGACGATTTTTTTCCTTACTCATCTAAATAATGTTGTTTGTGATCGACACAAACAATTTTTGTATATTACATACCATCCTCTTCATTGTCCAAGTGTAGGAACACTTCAGCTTGTTCGTTCACAGACTTCACTCGGTCAGCTTGTGCTGCAATGTCTGCTTCTACCAGACTGTGTTTTTGTAAAAGATCTTCCACGCCAAGCAAGTGTTTACCATAATCTTCAGATAAAAGGCCCATCTGCGATTATACAGCACAACGAATAAGCGATCTTAATATGTGGGTATTGACATTACGGCATAAAACTCAGTTACCTTGATCTCATCCATCCAATCAATTGTGTTTATCATTTCTTGGAAGCAGCGTTGCAGTTTCATGGACTTCTCCAACCGAGATCGTCGACGCTTCAGCAATTCCAGCAGTTGCTCCCAAAGCCTTAAAATCAGGTCTTTCCTGAAAAAGATAAAGATGTGATCTTAGAATCAAGAATAAACTACGGAAAGAAAGAGGCAAGAAGTTTGCATACAATTAAATCTTACAGTGAAAAGAAAGAAGAAAAGAAATTGTTGGAAAACAAACCTCTCCTGGATTCGGTCTGATTCATGGTAGTTTTCTCTGTGTAATTCATCTGCAACTTGAACGATGGCTTTGATACGTTCTTCGTATGCCTAAATAAAACAAAGTACTGTCATGTCCAACTGAACTTAATTTAAATCGAGTATGAAATGCAATTTGTGATAATTCTTATCATGATGAGTGCTTTTCTAAATTTTATCAAAACCAAATTCTCGATTCAAGCTTTTAGTCTAGTCCTTGAAAAATAGTCTGGCGAATTTGACAGAGCACAGAAAAGCGCTCTGTCGTTGAGAAGTTTTCCCATTCTCATCATCATGTTCTGCAAAATGTTTAGCTTTGTACTCAAACTCTACACACAGGATTTGAGCATGGTCATTGCATAGGCGAAATAAAGAATGTAATTTTAACCAAACAAACATACTAACCATGATATCAGTTTCAATTGCCTCGTGTTTCTTTGTAGCAGCTTCCACGGCAGCTATGTCATTTCCAAAATTGTCTTGGGACACCAGACGCTGGTTCTCATTCAACCATGTCTCTCTCATGGCAGCCTGCAATTCATTACGTGATCAGACAAATAATAAGCGATCTTGTCAATGTGTTAAGCTTGCTCGTCTCTAGGGTTTTCAAACGCGGAAATTTGAGATTACAAATTTTGAGGAAGACTTGTTATTGCTCACCTTTCTGTCAAACTTAGCAGCAAGCATCTCTAGTCTTTCTTGCCTATGAAAAGAAGGGAAATGAGATTTAAGAGAGAGCTACAGGGATTTGAAATTGTGAGAGTAAAAAACATCACATAATAAACAGAAAATAAGACTACCGAAAAGATCTTATATACACAAGCATGTACATTTATATTAGAATGTGTAATTAAAAGTCAGAGGAATACATCAATCTTTTGCAGGCCCATTTCAAAGATCCTGTGATTATTTACAGCTCTGACAATGCATACCTCATGAGTTCTTCTCTCAGAGCCAGTTCCCTTTCATGTTCAGCTCTTTCAAGTGCTTCCCAAGCCTGAGTAAAGGCAATTGAAATGTATCACGAGATGATTTTCATAACAGCTGTTCTCTTACTCTTTTATGTTTTAAGTCACTTTGCTGAAGCTACCTAACGGTTTCTGTACCATAAAAAATTAGCATAAATTTTTATGCTTAAAATCTATATTTTGTGAAAATTTGCTGCATCTACAACCATCCCCTCTCTCTTGATTTCACTCACAATCACTTAAACATTTAACTCTCAAAATCTGATTGTTAATTTTCTTGTCTAGTTGCAATACACTCCCTAGTAAATTAGTGACAAGAATTTGATGTTAGATCAGGATAACAACTTATACTTAATAAGTTTGAGTATTCTCATTACCAGTCTCCTGGATAATGTATGGATATTATAGGGAGAACTTACATGTTAATCACGTCTGGGAGCTACAGGATTAAAACTAGTTTCCTCTGCATCCAATGTTTGGTCTTGTCATGCAATACATGTGCAGGAAACACATACCTTGTTGATATCACTCAGTGCCTTGTTCTCAGGAGGAGTGTACATCTTTTGGTGATTGGCACGCAGTTTGCTTGTCAGAATAAACAACTGTACTTCAAGGTTTCCTTTCTCAACAAACCTGATGGTTGTAATAGTCAAAAGAACAATTCAAAACAATAAAGAGCCAAGAGATATAGGGGAATTGATAACTTCTGTACATGCATCTTAAAAAAAAATTTAAACTCCAAATTGGTTTACTCACAAAGCAATTTCAGGACTAGAAAGAATTCTTCAAGTCTCAAGTCTCAGTGGCTCTCTCACCTTAAAGGTTTCTATTCAGGAGGTTTATGAGGGAGGGATGGCTAAATACACAAACTAATAGAGAGCAAATTCTAATTTCCTCTCAACTATACATTTCTTTGGATGAAAAAAATCATTTCACTTAAAACTGATTTTGACCTTAAAACACAAGTTTTTGACAGAAAGGTTACCTAAAGTTAATAAATACTCCAGTAAAATCCCTTTGCATTGCATGATTACATACTGAATTACTACTTTTGCCAGTGTTTCTATTGTCACAGTTTTTTTCAAAGGATTAAACATAAAAAGAGGGCAGGAAACTTGAAACTCAAAATCAAGGAGGGCTCTTTATTGGAGAGGTTGAAGGCCTGTTAGATGCAGTTTCCTCAGTCAATTTATCTCAAACAAAATGAAACAATTATCAATAATACACTTTTCTCTAACCTGGGTGGCTTTTCCTGAGTTCTGTACTGATTAAACTCTAACATCTCTTGCTGAACTCCAACAAGAGTGTTGGCAAACTTCCTGTCTGAGAGCTTCACAATGGTGATCTGGATCCACTCAAGAAGATCTGTTGCCAGCTTCTCATATTCGATGATCAGTTCATGGTTTTCCTTGATGCGCTCAATTACCTGAGGTGCAATAAAATTTTTTTGTAAAAAAAAATTGATTCTTTAAATTGCCTACATCATCCCATTCAATGCGAGGAGGGGGATTCACATACATATACACTACAACACAAGTAGCAGTTATTGTTTACTCTTTAACTCCCAAGATCTCATTAGTAATTCTCCTTACTTTCTGCCATATAGTTCTTGATGTTAGTTTTGAGAATTTGGTTTTGGATCAACTAAAAATCCCCTAATTAACCGTTTTCTTTAATCTCATCACTTGTCTGCTTGATATTGTCTTGATATTGTAAGGAGAAATTCTGTACTGGTCACACATGGGAGTTAAAGGTTTAATTTAAAGTTACTATAAGTCACACACATTTACATCATTACTTCTTTTTTACCATAGCCAAGATCGTCTTCATGTACTGGGAAATTAATCTCATAGAGCCAAGGTCCAAGATTACTGGCTGATAAGCTTTGATTCCAATTTCTATTTCATGAGTGTTGCACACATCCAATATTCAGTATCCATTTGATATTTAGTATTATTTGAAAACTGCAAGTACAGTTGGAGTTACTTGACTTACCTTGCCAATTCGGCTGCCACTAACTTCCACTGTCTTCATCTTGGCAAAGTAATGATAATAAGCTGCCACATAGGTGATGACTGACTTCTCATCAGGGAAATCAACATTGACATCTGAAAGAGCAATGTTTGCAAATTACAGTAAGCATCATGCTGTCACATAATCACAAATTTTTTATCATGCTGAAGTCGAGTTACTTTTTTCTTTAATATGTACATCTTTGCCTATCTATGTTTGTTTGCTTTTTCACAAGTTTGTTCATATTTTCTTTGTTATTAACATGTTGTTTGTTTTTTTCATTATTTGTTTTTTATTTTCTTTTTTCTTTCTTGCTTACTTGCCTATTGCATGTCTAGATGAACATATAAATACATGATTAGCCACGATTCACTGTCTCTTGTTTGGAAGAGGGAAAAAAACACATTTCTGAGGAATCATAGCCTTATCAAACTTGGGCATCATTACAAAGAAAAAAACAATCAAACTTTCAACAAACCTTCTGCTTCTAACAGCTGTGGTATTTCAAGCTGTGTCTCTGCCACTTCAAAAGCCAGGTTCAAATTTTTCTCTGGCTCACTCTTTGTTAGTTTTTCATATTCAATAAGATCAGGCCTAACAACAAAAGTATGGAAGATATGTAAGTCATTGTAACTTGAACAAAATTGAGATGAAAGCTTCATCATTACTCCAACCCTTAAACGCTTCTTTGCCACCAAATACCATGGATATTACTAGATTATAAACACATCTTTCAAATGAGAGTTGCAGGGTACACTGCCACACATCTTATCAAGGCCAGCTGAGAAAACGTTAAAAAAAAAAAAAAGTTTACCAGCAAGCATTTTCATTTAAGGAGACAGAAAATTGCTACTACAACAAAGAAAAACCTTGAAGTTAAACTTTAAGCTTCATGTTATTAAAAGTTTCTGTTTTGGAAACATCTAGAAATGTACACATCACCTCCATCTTATGTGTACTTCTCTGAACGAAAATTTCATTCATTTTACCTGTGTCTGTGAATAAGCGCATTGAAAGCTAATCCATCTCGCCAGCTTGTGGTAAAGTTGGACACAGTGACATTGCGATACCTGTAACATGAAAATGAAACTTCTATCAGAACCAGAAACAAAATCTATTCACTTTTGAAAGGAAATTGGCCATTTTATAGTTGTTTACTTAGTTGCCAAGTCTTGGATGTGGAGCAAGACTGAAGGTGACCATGTTGTGATAGAGACCAGTATCTAGTTAGCATGATATCAAAGTAATTTACATTTGAAAAGCAGCAACGTTTATATCATAACAAGGTCACCTTTAACCTCAGTATTGTTCAAAGGCTTGGCAACCAAGCAGGCAACTATAAACTCTTGAACCTGACAAAGAATGAAAAGTGCAACTAACTAACCCAACAGTCTTGGACTGACACCACAATAACAGGGCATCTTTAGCAGATCTCTTTTCTTTTGTTTCACCTTCAATGGTAATATCTTGAATCTAAAAACAAAATACATTATCGTTATCACCATCAAACATGTATATCCTTTCTAATCTGACAACCACATTGTTGCAAATCTTAATTCATCTGTGGCTGGAACAGACTTTCCCCTGATAAAAATTACATGTATTAAATATGTTTGACCCAATGCATAAACCATCTTCTACACATTACTGCATAAAATGCAACCAAGTCTTCTTTATGAATGAAAGAAAGAGGTGACTTTAAAATGATTTATAAAACATGCAAATGATCAAATTGTTAACATGAGGATCCTAGACATAAGAATTTGACTGGAGTGTAAATGGTTTTTCTTGGAAATATTTTAACAGAATTGCTCCTTCATCAGTTACACAGCATAAAACTTGTAACCACTCAGTCAGAGCTGCCTTCTAATTCAAGTATGGTTCTGTAAATGTTCTTCTAGGATGATTTAACAAGAGAAAAGAAGCGGCAAGGATTCTTTTAACTCTGGCCCAACTGCAGCTCACAAGGTTTAGCAACCAAGTTTAAAAACTAGGGTGACTGGTTCATTAACTACTTTCATTTTTTACTTTCCTTTTCCCTACAGGCCTGAGAATGTACACAGAAATAGAACAAAGAGCATCTTCGCACCTGGAATCTAAGGATTATTGTCCATATCAGACCCAGTGTAATCTTGTTGTTTCCATCAACAATGTCATGTGCACCAATGTTTTCCAAATGGACCTGAAAGGAAAATTTGTCACTGTCATTGGAAACTAAGGTTTACTCCAGTAAATAATTAATTCATACAAACTTCGGTTACCTCAATCATGGACTTATAAAAATACCACCTTACCTTCTGTTGTTTCAAGAATGTTAAAGCCTTGTCAACATTTTCAAGCATGTGAATTCGCATTCTTCCCTTGGATGGTTTGGGCTGAGGACAAGACAAATTAAAATGCATGTCAATATACAACTTCAGATATATCACAGGTGTATCAGCCTTAAAATTCATTCTTTACTCCTCTAGATCAGCAAAACACTCAACTCTGGTGGTTTGCTATACAAAAATCGTGTTACAATAACTATCAATCCATGAGTTTACACAATGTTCAATTCTTTAGTTTCTCCATAAGTTCCTTGACAAATGACAGTCCAGTTACTGGTTCCTTAGCTGTATACAAGCAAAATATGAACAAAGCAAAAGAAAACACTCAGCACCAAGGTTTGACCTAAACTGGAATGAACCTCAGTAAAATGACCTGATCTAAAATGCTTGGATAGACTGGTCTGCTTACACAGGATACCCAATATCAGAAACTAGCATGTACAATAGGCATAGGAATATATTTCCAAATAACCTTTTTCAAAAAAATTGAGTGAGGGGGTAGGAAGTAATCCTTGTTATTAAATTTCAAGATGAAGTCTTTCCACCAATTAGTATTTAGCCATTCTCACTTTCAGAAAATCTTGATTGTGTCAATTGACATGCAATCACTTTATTTTCTCAAGTCTATGCAGCCTTACCAACTTTTCTCCAGATAGGATTTCAAGAAGAAGAATCAACTTCTTTCCTTCTTTAAGGTCATGATAAAGGTCATTAACCCTGGCACCAACTCTCTGAAGATGTGAGTTGATCCATTTTGTAAATGTCTTTTTCTGAACCTTTTCTCTTTCATCTGCAAATACAAATTGACAATTTAAAAAAATTAAACAACACAGTGACATGATTGACTACCAGTATTGACACTCTTGAACTTACTGTAATTCTTTGTTCTTACTTCATAATCAAAATCATCCCTCCTTAGCAAATAAATTTCTTTCCAAATAAGTCCAATGAATTTGATGTAACATTTTACATATACCCAAAAGAGACCTTACAGCTGATAAGTTTTCTTTTCCATCTTCTGTCCTCTCAATAATTCAATAAGAATGTCATGTAAGGTTACCTATTAATTACATCTAAGAGTGAATATTAGGTTAATAAAAAATAATTGAAGAATTTTAACTGCATTACGTCTATCCCAAAGTGCCGATCTAATACAAGTGTCTCTGTTTTAATTGCATCAAAAAGCAAAAGTTGTTTTCAAAATATTAAAAAAGAGAAACATTTCATCACAGCAAACACCAATTTTGAGTTAAACAAAAGTAAAAACTGTTCAAAATAATTGAAATTTATAGACAAATAACACTGTTTACAATATGTAAAAGCATAGACGTTGCGCATTCAGACCACATAGAGTCACTAACAATTAAAATTCAAATCATCCTCGACCTCTCTTTGAAATAATCGCATTTGCTGCAAGCTGAGTTCTGATAACAACAGAATTCTTTGGCATCAGTTCAAAACCTAAAATGACGTCGTTACTATTTCGAGTTTTTGTTTTCCTAATCATGCAGATATCTTTTTAATAAAGCCGCTTTGGAAATCAACTAGTTAAGTAATTACCAAAATCTTTGACAAGAAATCGGTCACGCAAAGGCGATGCAATCCAATGAACATTTCACCAAATTGAAATGCAAGCTCATATTAGCAAAAAATAACATCAAAAACAAAACAAATTAAATGAACAAAACGAACAGTCAAATGAAAGGCCGTGGCAATCTGATTTGAGGTTTCAAAATATTGTATCAGTATTTAGTATTTCACGGGAATATGAAGACAATACTACACCTCTTTACTTACGTTCCTTTTACGACGATCGCGATCACAAGTATTTCACGAATTCAAGTGGCATAAAAACGAAGAGCTCGTCTACAAATTACTGGTAGACAATCGTGTCATTGTCACAATTTCCTTTTAATTCAAACATTATTGAAATACCAATTTGGCTGCTTCCTCGAAAATCACGCAACATCTCACCCACACCACGCCTATGAAATTCTACTTTAAATATTCACAACTGCATTATGCTACCCCCTTTTTCGATCATGTGTCTATTTCGATCAGTTGACGTTCCGTCTGGATAAAAATAAAACGTCTGAAATGCGATTAGGAGCAAATTGATCCCTGACGAATAGAAATTAACGGTGTTGTATCAATCAACCATCTTTTGTCCGCTCACACAGCGGTGAGCATTCGATTGCTCGAGGCAAGACACCAAGACTAAATAAAATTCCCGCACGCACCTCTGCGTAATAACATCTTACTTTTAATCAACGAAATATAAGTTTGTGGCATTACTGATTTACTAAAAGTTTTAGATGCATCGTAAGGTCAGAACTGTTAACAATCGAGCAAAAAACCTTCCTAGTTGCAAAATGATCATTACTATTCATAACGCGATTATAAATTATTTACAATGCAAGGTCGGTTGAGGTTTTATTAAAGATTCAGTTCACATACAGGTACATATGCTTATCATAGGTAAATGTGTGTTCAATTTTAAAGTGCTCAAATCATTTGGCGTTCATGGCAGACAACAAAAGAACTCAATTCAAATGTACGAACCTGCTAGCACTTTGATTCGAGATCGTTCGAACAGCCGCGCGGAGCTTTGTTGTTCCATCCACTGATCTTCCTCTGAGTCACGATAGTCCGTTGATACCTCTCCCATCGTTCCCATCGATTGAATAAAGGCCTGAAATTTGAATAACAGTCAACAGTGCTTCGATTTCTCGTAAACGGAGAAGATACAATAAACTGAAGAGTGTCGGGGGAATCTGTAAAAGTCATTGAACTTCGCGATCGGGGTAAACACACTCTCTCCTCTCATTAAACATAAAACACTTTAACAAAGAATCTACACTGCCTGTTCCTGTCTTCGAAAGCGCTAATATTTTACTCTTTCCCGACCGTCTAGTTTGCAAATTAACTCTTTCTACAGATGTAGTTCAAGTCCAAATCACGAGAGGAAATAAAGCATATGAGCAAGTACAGGAAATATTTCACGTCTTTTCCGATCGGGCCTGGAAGCAAAAAGGAATACCTCTCAACCAGAAGATGCTTTCACATCGTCCAGAAATATATCGATGGGAAAGCAACCGTTATGAATTTTGAAAAGCACAAACTCCTAATGTGCATTACTGAATTCCACGCGACACCTTTTACACGCTCCCCGCCCTGTCCGAACAAGCTAGAACCAATCAGAAAACGGCTAATAAATACACCAGCCAATAGAATTGCTTTTTATAGCTCGTGAGTCACGGGCTCATCTCGCGCGTATACATTAAGCCCGGGAATGCAAGGCGTGACAGCAGAGGTTAGAAATTTACACGAAAACAAAAATCTCTTTGCGATAACAGACACATTTTCTGCATTTTACAACATCGGTTAGAGCAAAAAACTTTCAGAGAACTAATTAAATCCACGCCAAAGGCATTAGATGCGAAAATTACTCGCCTAAATTGCTTGAATGGGTCTAAAAGCAGACCGCAATGACCTTTTAACCTCCAAAAATTATCTACGTTAGCATTTTATCAAAGATTGTTTGTAAAGCATATTTCCTCATGTTTGGATACACTTAGTGCTGTCACAGATAAAGATACTGCAATTATTGATGTGTCGCTGAAACTATATGTTAAAGCCAAGAAGGAGATAAAAAAATTTCAAGCTTGTTTGATTTGGTAGAACCGATCTGGGAAACAACTCTCTGTTATTATTTCACTTTTTTTTAATGAAGCTACAGATTTGATCATATTAAATTTGAGGCAAATCTTACTCTGGCTATAGAACAGGAATTTTTGTTAAAAAAAAAATTATGTAAGCCCTCTAACCCTCAGCTAAACATTGTCAATTTAACTGACACACAAAAAGAAGATATGAATTAAGACTAAAGCCAACAAAATACATTATGGGCACTATTCAAATTGACTACTGTAGAATCAGACTAATCAGACAAAATACAACAAAGGTAAATATGACAAGAAGCAACTAAGAATCCAGGGTTATTAACCCTTTAACTCTTGTGAGTGACCAAGACTGAATTTCTCCTTACTATATCTATACAATATCATGCAGACCAGTGATGAGAATAAAGAAAAATATCAATTATGGGGTTACTAGTCGATCCAATAACAAATTCTCCAAACTAACATAATGAGAATTGTTTGGCAGATAGTTAGGAGAATTACCAATGAGATCTTGGGAGTTTAAAGGGTTAAATGTAACCAGCCTCTAACTGGATTAGTCATTGTGTTGCATCAGATTCGCTGAGAAGGGCGCAAATTGTTAGGAACAGTCACAGCGTGCTGAGATCAATGCAAAATGTGATTTCTGGATTTCTTGTAATGACACGATACTTAAACATCAGGCTGCAGTTGCTTAAAGGGTGGATAAAGTTATCTGCTGGATATCTAGCACAGTATATTTCATTGACACTTATATGCTGTGTAGTGATTTATCGTTTGGATGGTGTGATTCACCTTTTGAACAACCAGGCCCTGGTCATTTTGCGATGGCGAACTGAGGGCAATCACAAATTAAATCTTTTTTCTATAAACATTTTGGAATTTACTGGATAGCTCTCTTTGCACTTAAGCCACAGCTCATCTTTGCCATTGCCTCAAAGATATACTGAGTATCATTCCTTCTTCAGTTGCAGTTGAGTTCATTTTATCATTTGATATTTGAGTGGCAATCTTTACACAAGAATTTTAAATATTGTCTTCCAAATGTATAATCAGCAAAGACTTGAAATGGTTTTGCAAAAGTCTGAATGAACATCAACATATTACTAGACCACTGAAGAAAAGCTACATTACCAAGGTAAGGCTCTTAATAAATTTCAAATGGAAAATTTTCATCTTCTTTGCTTTTTCAAGGACTTTTTCATATACATTTTTTTCTAATTCAGCAATTGATTATGCTTCTCTGTCTGAAGTAGTTAGGGCTTATTTTAAGCTCTACTGACCTTCCCTTTAATTTCAAAATGCCTCTTTAAAGAAACTTTCTGTGGGTGAAATGTGAAGTAAGCCCAAAGGATAAAGTTGTAAGTAACATATCAAGGTACTTCCTGTAACTGAATCAATACAACTTTTGGGTCAATTTTTTTTCATTCAATTTTTCACAGGTGAGGGCCACATGTTCCATTTAACATGTCTACAGTATACACAAACTTGGCCTTGTTGGAGAGAGATAAACTTCCATGACAAATTTTACCCAGTTATTTCAACCAAAGTGTACTAAAAGGTTAAGTAAGAAAGAAAAATGAAAGTATTCTTCAGGAATCAGTTAATATGTTATCTGCAATAAAACACAGTATTTGGTTGATAAAGTGGTCAAGTCCAGTTTAGAGTTTTGAATTCCATCATTGATTCTAGATAGCAGTCTAAAGAACAGTGAGCTATTATTTCATAACCATTTAGAGTGACCAGTCTCTAATTTCTCCTTACAATATCACCTCTGAATCATACATTATGGTCATAAGAATGATCACCAACTTAAGAAGCTCTTGATTGTTAAACAAATTTTCTCTGCTGGCACCATAGGAAATGTATTTAAAAAAAGCATGGGGAGGTTAGGGTGTAACCTTGTTTTAAAATAAAGCATGTGGCAGTCTTTTTAATAAATTGAAAGCTGGTGCAAGTTTTAAGTTCAGGGAAGAGTAAGGAACAAATTCTTTAGTGCAAGACAATCTTGCAAACTCAAAAACTTTAACCTATTTAAGCTTAAGTATTTTTTTTCATATTATATAAAGTGCTCCTGGGATACATATTTGAGTAAAAATATGTACCTGTTAGCAACTTCACAAACTTGTTATTACTGAATATAAATGTAAATGTAATGAAAAAAGAGGTATTGTCATAAGTCCTGATGAAAAACTGGAATTGATTTAAATCCTCCCTGCATCTTTTTTCTCAATTAAGACAGAGAGTGCACGTAGTGCAAGTAACCAGTCTTGTCGCCAGCTATTTGACTTAAATGGTATTAATTGAAATTACTCCTTTCAAATTGGTTAATCTTGTCAGCATACAGGAACCCTTTGACCTTAAGTAAATTGTTTTTGATGAAACATCATAGTGTCAAAAATAATTTTAAATAGGAATAGATGTTAGGCAGTAAGGAAAGGTCATCTTTTTTAAACTCATACAGACATACTGAAAATAAATTTTTCTATTGCTACATTTGATTATCTTCAGAGGTATACGTCATGAGTTTAATGGAGTACATTGAAGGTAAACTTCAATTTAACATCAACGAAATAAATTCCTGATACATGGGTTATATCTTGTCTTTTACGCTCAATATTGAAAGCTTGTGTCTTATGTGTTGCTCAGTCAAAACTTCCTACTCCAAAGTGTTACAAATTTTATCCAAACATAGGAAGTTTGTGAAAGTCATTAGGAATATTCAGTCATCTCTTCTGATGAACTCATTTTGCTGGATTTCAATCGTTGGTAATAACATAGCAAGACCCCAAAATGGCTAATCGATCGTTACAAGCAAATTACAAGACAAGGAGTAACCTCCAGAAATCCAGTGAATTTAAACTGCACAGGACAAAATATCCGCCTCGATCACGCACTGTAAGTAATATTCATCGATTCAACAATGCTTCACACAAAATTAAAATACTCCTTTAGTATCCAACCATCAAAGAAACTGTTTTAAATTCCGTTTGAAATAGTAGCGAGCACAGAGAAGAAACACCAAGAACCCGACAAAATGTCTCTTGATCGTATCTTTTGTCGACGGAAATCAGCCGCATGCGTCGCCAACGGTATTGAATCTTGATTTTCACTGAAAATTCATAATACGTATTTTTCAATAGCACTCACAAAAATCGGAATCAAAGCTTCGATTCGAAGCAAACGTTTACTTTCGATCAGCCGAAACCTGATAGCTCAATGTAAACAGTGACTGTTGAATCGGTGTTGTCTATTTCAGAAATCAGCAACAATGAGACATACCACAGAAAGCAATGAATGGGCGGGTGAGCGTGGAAATTTGCATCGCCAGTGTTTGTATTGATTATTTTCCAGCAAAAATCGATCGCAGAGATAAAAATTTAAATGCGACAGCCTTTTATTAGAGTGGAACGTGTTTTACAAGCGTGCAACACTATTCAGTGGTTGCGATCATAGTAACGTGGCTAACCCTGGCAAAGAGTGTGTTTTTTAAACGAAGGGCTTTCGTGTCTCTCCTCTGCAAAATAGTTTGCAAATGGCCTCGATCTTCAGAAATATCACATGGCACATGTAAGCAGTCTATGAAATGAGAGACTCTCATAAAACTCCAATTACAGTAGTACAGAGTTCGTTTAACGAAGATTCTCGAAATACCAACATGTACAGCAACATTCAAATTTTTAGAGCTTTCTAGGTCTACCTCGTTCGATCTGTACTTTTCTTTTCCAAATTACTACGACCAACTGCGATCGATATCAAGGTCTCGGTAGTACCCACTGTTAATGTGGGTTACAAATAGGGTGAAATTACAAGGAATTTAACGAAAAACTGTCATTGGAACGTTCGCTGACATAAGCATTAATTCAAACTGAAAACACATGCTAGGCACAAAGAAGCAAGCCGCCAGGCGGCTAGATGCAACATTGACTTTAAAACAATTCTAATTCAGGTCTCAATTTTCCCGACTTGGATAAATTACCCCTTACCTAGGATTCGCGTTTCTTATCGATTGTCATTCAATAGATTTTCCTTTACCCAAACGTGTTGTATTCGAAGAAGTGATCGTTCGATTTCCACGTTTTCTGTAGAGCTCCCCTAAAGGCTTCTCGTCACGCACGAATACTAGTGACATTTCAAACATTTGAAGCTTCCCTACTTCAGAAAATCCATATCGATTGGAGCTTAATACAGCCCTTGGGCAAAAGAATAACTCGGTGTTTGTGATGTGGTTTGGAGACGGTCTGATCTATGAAAAAATATATATACTCTATGCTTACCTTCATAACGTCTGCATCTCGCTCTTCCATCTTTGTCGAGAGTGGTTCGAGTCGATGGCGACTCACTTCGAGCAGATCGGTGCTTGCCGCATCAAGCGGATGTTTCACATCGACAGACATGGTTCAAACGCTTTGATCGACCGCACAATTCCCTGAAATTTATCAAATACGCGGGCGAAACAAGCAAGGTAAGAATCGAATCTACGATCAAAAGCAGTGAGAGACGCCCTAAAAACTGGGCCGGACTCGCTCGCTTGATATTCAATATTCCTGCATAAATTATAGAGTCCATTTACTGAATTCTCTAAGGACCAATCAGCGATCGATAATGGTCACGTAAAAAAACTGATCGTTCGTCCAGAACATTCATTCGTTCTCTACCAATCACACGCAAGAATCTCAAAACGCGGGACAGAAATTGTTACAAGGAATTATTTTTCCTTCGGCATAGATAAAGTAATGGGAGTTTTCTTGTTCAGCATAATAACAACATACTTTTTTCCTCCACTGCATACTGACTATAATTATCAACGAAGAACTATAATCTATATAAACCATGCGATTTTCATCTTAGTCATAAAAAAAGTATTTCTTGGAATTTTGACACTACCAGTATTTTGAGACACCACACTTCAGTCCATTCAAAAACTGTTTCCGTGAGATAAAATTAAAATATGGACACAATCGTTTCTAATCTTCTCGAGCAATTTGCCGTAACAAACGCTCCCTCTTCCCCCCTTCCATTTCTTAGATACTCTTAATATAGCAGTTTTTAATCCCATTATCAGTACTATTTTTTATTTTCTTTTTTTACGAAAATCAGCTTTGATAATAACTGCAAATGAAGAGAGCCTCGTGCTTTTTCATGTTTTGTGCGGCTTAAATACCCCCTTTCATTTGTTTTTTAATGACAACATATAAACTAATTCTCGTGTCATTCGAAGACACTTTATACGGGGTTTGGTTACTTCATGAAATTACCTCAAAATGTAGTCTCCACCAAATTTCATACATCCATACCTTTCAATGACAGTTTTGATTCATATTAATCAGGAAGTTGTTTGCTATTGGATTAAAAAAAAATCGACCCGGCAGTGAGGACAACAGGTGGGCAGGGATCTTCCCTAAGGGCATAGCCTGGGGGGTGGGTCCTAAGGTACTTGTGACTAACTCTTTGAAAGCCTTTTTTTGTCATCTGTCATATAAAGTAAAACACGCGCATGTGCGCGGAGGACAGAATGACAATCTGGTGAGTACCCTCTGTTTGACACAAAGTGCCCCCCCCCCCCCTTTGAAAAATGCTGGCTACCCCTGTTCCCCTCACTTCCCCCTGTTAGTCTCGTATTCAGACCTTTCACGGTCAAATGGTTCAGTTACAGTTGCATGGTAGGATCTGGGTATGAGATTGTTTGAGTATGCCTAACTTATCCTTTAATTTTATAATTAATTAA